TAATGTAAATGGACTGTTTAAGATCTGCAGTTAAACAAAGGTAAATAGTTTTGTTTTTGTCATTGTTTAATAAGTTCTTTTGATTATAAAACATTACTTAAGGTGTTTTGTTTCGCATGCTTTTTTTCATTTTATCAATTAAATATCACCTCTTAAGTATAAAAAAAAACCAATCTATAAATCGAAAAGTCCTTTAATAGGAATTTTGAGTTTATAGTTCAATAAACATAGTATATGGATCGAAAGTTTAACCCAAACGTGTTAATAAGCCAAAAAACCGTACAATTGACTGTAACAGTTATGTATATACTTTATATATATAATTTTGTTTTTAAAGCAAAAGGTCAAGACCATCCAGACTCCATGCCTATAAATAAAAACTTAAACAAAGCTTTATTAATTCTATAAAGATCTCCATACTGATATAAAAAAAAATATATATTTTGTAAATTAGATGTGATTGTACTATATAGTAAATTGATACTTTTTCTAACTGAATACAACATATTAGAAACAAACTGTATTAAACTTAAAGAATTTAGATTAATTTTTTAACTCAATCATGATTTTTTTATTTTCGTGTACTGATCATGACGACTATTATTGTTGATTTGTATCACATTGGCACAAAATCATTCATCTTATTTAATTTGTTGTACGAGTATAATATAGATAATAATTCCAAATAGTTGTCAATTTTCACTAGGAAATGAAACGAAGGCATATCAAATATAATATTAAAACATTAAATTTGTGGTCATGAATGAAAATTTATGAAATTAATTTTCATTGATAAATACGAAGAGATACTTATGAATTAAAACATATTTCTAAAATAGGAAGAATCAGTATCAGCTATCGATATCGACCCACGAGCGATGTCCTAGGTGCTGTCGATAATTTATTTCCTGTTATACCCGTGACGATCGCGATCTGTGATGAAAAAAATAACAAAATTTACTATTTTTAGATTATCTAACGATTATGTTTCGGTAAATTATAGTAGACAATAAAGTGAAAGTGTTATATAATTGCACTTATTTCTAGTAAAACGGCTTTTAGTGAAAAATGTTTCCTAATGCGCAGCCTGCTGTAGAAGTCTTCACCTGCATTGTTAAAAATGCATGATGCTTTAAGAAAATGAGTTTTCTGCCACTTGGTTGAAACCATCTTGGTAATAGATACATAAGATCGAAGGGAATTACGATCGTTAACTGTATTATAACGGTGCACAGTGGGGTAATGGATATCGATATTGGAGATTAATTAAAAAATAATAATTTCAAAGTACAAAGAAGTTTTTAAATAGTACCAGATGAAAGTAGATAAAATCCTACATCTCTATGCAATCAAATACTTTCCCTAAAATGTACCGTTTTTCTGCAATATACTCTTAAAGTCGTCACTTTTTCCTTTGAGTCTGCGCAAAAGTGAAAAACGTGTTTTAATATTTCATATTTCCAAGCTATTTCTCAGTTTTCTTTAAAGATATATCAAAAACTGCAATGGGACCTTCTTGTTCAGGTATTTGGGAAATACAAAGTGATCTTATTTTTTTTACTATGGTTCTAAGTATTTTATTTTACTTTTTTGTAGAAAGGATACAAAAAAGGGGTTTTTGACTATATACGTAGACATATAGTTGTGAAGTAGGTGGGATCAAGCAAAAATGTTTTCATTTACATATACATTTGAGATTATAGTGGCATTCTGTAAAGAAAAAAAGTTGCGGCATGTCTGTGCACTTTTTCAGTATATCGATTTATATTATACTATGAATAGATAACCTGGTTGGTGAAATATACACGAAATTCTCAACACAACCAAATATAACAAGTGAAAAATAAGTACAAAACAAACAAGACAGTAATATTGTTAGTTCCTTCGTTGCTTGCTTAGTTACTATATATATATATATACATATATATAGATATATATATATTTTTTTTACCCTACACTCGGCATAGCTATATATGAATATATATATTTGCATTCATCGCATACGGACACACGTAGCAAGGAGCTATCTTTGTTGTAACACAATGATTGAGTGCAACTTGATGTTGGTGGTTGCTCCTCAGATCGAACAGACCTAAAAACGGCAAGAGCGTGTATTCCTCGTGGTCTACGTTTTCGTTGGTTAATGTCCGGATATCAAAGCTTTTGACCAACTTCGATCAAAAACAAACGACAATACATCCTCGCCTGTTGTTGTTGTTGTTGTTGTAGCGGCTACAACAACCCCGCCCAGGACGGTTGGTATCTCAGTCGTTGTCGTCAAGTTCCACTAACGGCAACCCTAAGAAGCTTGCAGCTTCTGTGGGGTTTGTCCACAGGGACAAGGCCGTTAGGGTTGTCGGGTTTTCCGGGCATGCGAAGAGATGTTTCGAGTCGTGTGGGGTCTCTCCGCATGCCGGACACTCACTCGGCACATCCTCATTCAACCTACTCAGGTAGGAGTTCAACCTGCTGCAGTAATTGGAGCGAAGTTGTGCAAGTGTTGTGCGTGTCTCCCGAGGCAGATGAAGCTCCGTCTCGTCTATGTCCAGGGGTGGCATGCCTAGAACGGCATTCACAGGTCTAGAGTCTACATAACTCGAGACTGAGTCCCTGTGAATGCCGTTCAGGGCCTGTCGGTACGCTGTCGGGTCCAGAGGTTGCTTAATGAACCTCTGGACTTCGTCCGTCAGTTCATATAGATGCCTCCTGACGTGCCTAGGCGAGGGCTCCTCTGCAAGCAGCTGTCTGCTTGGGTGGCCACTTCTGTGGCTCCCGATCAGGAACTACTTGCAGAGCATTATATTGTGCTCCTTTACAGGGAGCATTTGCGCCTCGCCGTGCAGGTGGTGTTCAGGCGACATCAGGAGGCATCCTGTCGCTGTCCTGAGTGCGGTGTTCTGTACAGTCTGTAGCTTCGTCCACTACGTCCTACTAGGCCCTGGCGACCACACTGGCGCTGCGTAGTTCAAAACCGGCCGGCCTATTGCCTTGTATGTTGCCAGCAACGTTTCTTTGTCTTTGCCCCAAGTACTGCCGGCTAGCGACTTGAGGACCTTGTTGCGGCTCTGTACTTTATTGACAATAGCGGTTGAGTGCACAGAGAAGGAGAGCAGGCTGTCGAATGTTACTCCGAGTATTTTGGGGTTATTCACCGTCGGAATTGGTGTGTCATCGACGTGAATCCCCAGCGGTAGCCTGACCTCCTTCGTCCAGGTTGTGAACAGGGTCGCGGAGGATTTCGTAGGGGAGAGGGCTAGACACTTTGCAGTGAAGAAGCGAGAAAGTTCGTAGAGATAGTCGTTTACTTTCGAACACAGGTCATCAATTCCATTCCCAGTCGCCATGATCGAGCAATCGTCGGCATAAGAGACAATCGAGACTCCCTCTGGTGGTTGAGGGAGCTTTGAAAACATAATGGCTTATAAATTCATATCCCGATTAACCCCTCACCCACTTTTTGTAATGGAGTAAAACAGGATAAACAGGATTTAAACGAAATGTTTTAAATTCCAACAGACATATCCCACAAGGCCAAAGCATAAAAAAAACGCCGATGAGTGCTGGATAGCACGAGCGCAATCCGCAGTAGTAAAGTTTTCTTTCGCTTGGCGAATTATTTCTTCCAAGTATTGAATTTCAATTGTGTTTTTCTGAAATACAGTTGGGGTTTTCTGAAATACATTTTGCCTTTTCTGAATTTCATTTGAGTTTTTCTGAAATATATTTGGGGTTTTCTGAAATACATTTGGGGTTTTCTGAAATTCATTCGGCCTTTTCTGAATTTCAATTGAGGTTTTCTGAATATAATTTGAGGTTTTCTGAAACACCTTTGGCCTTTTCTGAAAATCAATTGAGGTTTTCTGAATATCATTTGACGTTTTCTGAAACACATTTGGCCTTTTCTGAAAATTAATTGAGTTTTTCTGAAAATCATTGGTAGTTTTCGGAAATACATTTGTGTTTTTCTGAAATACTATTGGAAAAGGTGTAGAACCTTATCGAGAACCCACCTGAAAATCGAAAAAGTTACCGTTTTTAAAAACGGCACTTGCTACGATTTTAAACTTCACGTATTCTAACTCAGGAACACCCCCAAAAATAGTCTAATCGGAAATTTCATCGTTCCAGACCGATTCAGTTGAATCTGGTTCAAGGACACCGTGCATTACTTTGGACCACGTCAACCGATTCTTTTTCTTTTCTTCTTTCTTCGAATTCTTTTTGCATCGGAAAGGTAGTGTCTCAGAGGTGGTCCCATACTAATCTGGTTAAGATCCGTTCAGTGGATCATGAGATATAGATATATATTTTTTTTATATGAGAGTTTAAGTCGGTTTTTTTTGCTAAAAATTACTTCTTTATTTTTATTATTGATGGCTAAGACCCAACCAATAATAACCAAAAAATATAGCATAATCAAGAATAGAGAAGAATTTCCCATACAGTTTCAATTTGAAACTTGAAATCCGAATTAAGGAAATTTTTTGTACAGAGGTAACGGGACTTTTTATAATGGGTAGGTTCAAATGATCAGAAAAATATTACGATAATCTAACAGTATCAAGTAAATACCTTTTTTTTAATTTTATCTGCAGTATTGGCCAATACAATAGCACCCACATTTCAAAGTGATATTGATTCCCACTCATGTTTATTTATTTCTTTTTAGGAACTTTCAATTAAACTACAGTTCATTCATTGTCTAACGAAACCCATATAAACCCAAGCTTAAAACTTTGTAGAAAACTACAAAAAACTTCAACAAATTTTCACTAAAATTTCAAACTTTTTTCTCAGAAGTGTTAGATTTTTTTTGAGTATACACTTTTATAGCCCATTCAATTTTAGTCTAACAATGTGAAAAAAGTTTGAAATTTTGGTGAACATTTTTTTGCACTTTTTTGTAGTCTTTTACAAGGTTTAAAACTTGGGTTTATACGGGTTTTGTTAGAAAATTAACTGAATATCATTGAAAATTCTTAAAAATTAATTAATTAACACTGGGTCACAAATTTTAGTTTGGTTTTTGTTCTCCAGACGTAACTATCCAATTTCTATGTAGAATTGCTCGGTGATTCCGGAAATCGAGTTAACTTAACAGAAAGGGGTCCACTTAATCACGTATATCTTACGAACCAATTTAACAATCATAAAATTAGATACGCTTATAAAATTCTCCATAAACCATATGTACATCACTTCAAGATAGAACTGATAGTTTCTGACAAATTAATTAATCCTACCGGTTTTTATTTAATTTTTAATGAGAAAATTAAAAATATCAAACTTTAACAGAAGAAAAACTTAAAAAATAACGGTTGTGTGAAAGATGTTTGCATCTGTATTAAAACCTGTTCCGTTAAAAAAAAAAAGTCAAGTTAATGATGAAGGAAAGCGAGGGATAAATAAAGAAGTAATGAGTAACTAGTCAAATGAAAATACGCAAAAATTTTTTGTATGAAATATGAGCATAAAAGCGTGTTACTCAGGCGTACGTGGCGTATGAGTAACCTTCTTTCCTGCTTATTTTTCATACAAAAAACCTTTGCGTATTTTCATTTGACCACTCATT